ATTTTTCAAATTCATTCATGCCTAAGGCTCTCCATCCTTTGATGACAATCATAAAACGTTGGAAAGGCCTTATTCTACATTTTGGGAAAGAATATACCAAGTTAACAGCTGCTGTCTTTAAGTGCCTCCAACATAGCTGAGATGTCACAGATGAGAAAGCAGTTTCGAGAATCCTTAGTGGGACAAGTGTCCTGAGTGGGACAAGTGGTTAAGTGCTCAGCTGCTAGACTAAAGGTTGGTGGTTGGAACCCAGCCAGAGGCCTGGCATCTGCTTCCAAAAGGCCACAGCCTTGAAAACCCTTGGGAACAACTGCTCTGCACACATCGTGTCTCCATGAGTCAGAATCGGCTTGACGGCAGCCAACAACAATGAAGGTCCTGGAGTATGTCTATCACACCACCGGTTTGGGTCCACGTGACTCTGTGTGTTTTCATACCAGGCTGTTAGTAAATACACTTAATTACTTTCTATTGTTGGCTTTCGGATAAACAGTATTTCAGTTAAATTTTGGATTATTTATAGTCTCCAGCGATATGTAATTTCAAACATTAAAGAGAATTTGTTTACACATTACCTCTATTTCCTTCCCTCTCTTTTCACTTTTTCTTTCCTCAGTTCTAATCTTCAGTTTTTTGTTTTTTTTTGCAGGGGTGGGAGATGACAAGTTTAGCTCTACTAATTAAATCTAATAGTTATGGAATATAGTGCTTCTGTAGAAATCAGTAATGACAAGAAAAGCAAGAATTAAAAAATATATATATTATTGCAAAATGCTTTTTCTTCAATTTGATTAAAAATCCTATCCATCATTCTGTAGCCGCCCTCCTCCCCCACCTTTAAAAAATAGATTTATGGCTCATTCAGATTTTCCTTAAAAATGATTTTGTGTAGCAATTTCTTTTGTCTGTAATCTTGACTCCAGACATTTCATATACATTCTTTTATTGCTCTATTTTCATACAGTTTTTTTTTTTTAGCAAACAATCATCATGCATAGTACTATATTTCTTCACAACTTAATGCCATCCAGATGTCTTTCCTCATGTTGCCTTTCAGAGAAATTTTGAAAATGTTGCTATAAAATAATTGCATTCATTTCTGCAGTAAATTTTAAATTACATTTTCGTAGGTCAATCACACTTTAACTTGAATACAGAATGTTTGGTGTCACTTTTGGTAACATTGAAAACCTGAATGAGTGCCTTGAAGGTTGCTGTGCTTTTGAATTGACTTTACAAGAGTTGGTAAATAGAAAGGCATTTGACAGCTAACTGGAAGTTTGGTGGTTCAAACCTACAAGCCGTTCCATGGAAGAAAGATCAGGTGGTCTGCTTCCATAAAGATTTACAGCCTTAGAAACCCAATAGAGGTCACTATGAGTCAGCATTGACTCAGTGGTGGTGTATGTTTTTGAACATACAAAGAAAGGAGCCCCAGTGGCATCATGGTTAAAATACTCGACTGCTAACCAAAACTTGGCCATTCAAACCCACCAGCCATTCCGTAGGAGAATGATGCAGCTTCCATAAAAAGTTAAAGCCTTGGAAACCCTATGGTAGAATTCCACCATGACCCTATGTGGTCAGCATGAGTTAGAAACAACTCTTCAGCAATGTGTCATGCAGAGATACTTAGTATTTGGAAATTAAGCTTCTCCGGTAATTAGTTTTATAAGTAATATGCAAACAATCTGAAAAAGTTATACAAGCTATATTATGTGTATGTTGAGGCTTTCAAAGTAAACAAAAATGCCTTGTTGTTTCTTTCAAACCCACTGCTGTAGAGGTGATTCTGTATCATAGTGACCCTATAGGACAGAGTAATACTGTTTCCAAGGTTGTAATCTTTAGGGACACAGACTGCCACATCTTTCTCCTGCAGAGACTGGTGGGTTTGAACAGCCAATCTTTTGGTTAACATCTGAGCACTTTGACTTTTGTCCCACAAGCATTTTCCAAATTAAGTGTTGGATTTTGCAAAACGGAGAAAAAAAATTTTAGTGACTTAAGTCAGATTTCTGGAAAGAGGATTTGCACAAGAATTACTTGATGAGCCCTTGACCAGTATTTATCTCTGTGCTTCTTTTTGGACCTCCTGAATCCAGATCTTCTTGGAAGGATCCAAGTGTTGTGAAAAATCCATGGATTCTGATTTTCACCTTGAGAACCATTGGACCAGACATAGTTTTACATAATAGACAACATGCTCACCTTAAAAAATGTCACTGAAATAGATAATTTGGTATTGAGTCTGGCACTATCATGTATCTACAGCCTCAGTTAGGAACAAAACCTTTATTTCCCCAGAGCAGTTCAATGAAGATTTTTATGGTCAAGAAAATAAATATATCAGATTGTGTTTCTTTTTGCATCCTTCCCTTCTACTTGCCATCAAGATTCTCTGGGGCAAAGGTATACTTCAGTTAGGAGACTCTTGTGGTCTAGATAATCGTGTTCTGGACTTTTCTAACCCAATAAAAACTTACTGAATTTCTTCTACATACCAGTATCACGGTAGGCACTAGGAAAACTGCTGTTGAACAAAACACATCTAGAGCTTACAGGATAGCAGATGAGATACAGTGAACAAAGAGATAATTCAGTAAGTGCCCCTGGTCTAGACAGCAGCGGTCATTGGATTACAAGATCAGTTACTAAGTGTGTCTTTAAAAGTCTCTAAGTGGAATTTGTAGGTGAGTTGAAACACATGCATGAGATACGTATTTATGCTTTACTTCACTGTAAGAAGAATCTCAAATCCTTTTCAATTATTGAAAAGCTGCAGGTGCAGCAAATGAATGTGATTGTGATGAAGGTTTTGTTACCAGTAAGCATTGGTTGTTCCAAAGTGAGGACAAATTTACATGACATTAAAAGACAAGTTGCATTGAAATTGTCAAGGATTTCACTTTACTTGAATCCACAGTCAATGCACATGGAAGCAGTAGTCAAGAAATCAGATGATTTACTGCGTTGGACAAATCTGTTGCAAAAGACATCTTTAAAGTGTTTAAGATCAAATATGTCGCTTTGAAAACTAAGGTGCACCTGACCCAAGCCATGGTATTTTCAGTAGCCTCATATGCATGTCAGAGTTGGACAGTGAACAAGGAAGACTGCAGATGAATCCATCCATGTGAATTGTGGTGTTGGCAAAGAATATTGAATGTAACACGGACTACCAGAAGAATGAACAAATATGTCTCAAAGGAAGTACAGCTGGAATGCTCTTTGGAAGCAAGAATGGCCAGACTTCTTCTCATGTACTTGGTCATGTTGTCAGAAGACACCAGTCCCTGGAGGAGGATAGAGGGTGAGCAAAAAAGGGGAAGACCCTCAGTGGAATGGGCTGACACAGTGGCTGCAATGATGGGCTCAAGTATGGTGATGCTTGTGATCATGGCGTATGACTGGACAGTGTTTTGTTCTGTTGTATACAGGGTCGTTATGAGTTGGAACCAGCTTGACGGTACCTAACAATATGACAATAGGAGTTGTCTGTAAATCAGATGTTCATCATCTCATGACTGCCTGTATTGTAAGCCTGTTCTGTGCATTGATTTACAACTTTTTTCTCAGTATTTACTAGTGGTGAGCTGTAGAATCTCTAGGTAATATTTTTGCAAACACATTTATAGTAGACACACATACATCCCCTGTTATATAGCTAGTTTATGTGTATCTTATTTCATACTTACATAACTACATTGGTTCAGTCATTTTAATCCACATGTAACCCTCTGTAGAATGAGCTGGAACATTCACATGTGTACATCAGTACCGCACATCTATGTACATATGTATAATGGATCAGCTTGGGTTACAATGCTCAATATTACATCTTAGCCTATTTTTCTTAGTTTTTTCTTTAAGTACTGATGAGTGAAATCTGCTTTATATTTGAGGGTATTTCCTGTAAATTCTTTGCTAAGTTTAAAAGTTTACATGATTCTAATGTAAAGGAATGTTTGGGGGCATTTTTCCAGTGGTGAGACTGAGGTTGAAAGTCCTAAAAACCTGTGACTCACTGTCTCCAGGAAAGAAAGTGAAGAGTGTTGGCCATTGGCGCCTTGTACATGTTGTGTGTGTGAGTCTTGCCATCACAGATGACATTTCCCTTGTGCAATAGTTGAACTGTCCTTAATTTTTTTTTTTAAAGCTGCCAAAATAGGGTCACTGATTTTGAGGAAGCTCTTAGCTGTTGGATTTGTTTTGCTGTTGACTGTGCCTTAGGCGTCCCTGTGGGCTCCGGGGCACAATTGCTCTGGAGTTTTCCAGACTATATTTTCCACAGAAGCAGATCTCCAGCTCTTTCTTCCGTGGTGCTGCTGAGTGGATTTGAACCCCCAGCCTCTGGATTACCGGCCGAGTGCAGTCCATTTGTATCATCCAGGGATCCTGGAGGAGACTGCTACCACGTTAATCCTGTGAGACAGTCGCAGAAGAGATTCTGGAATCTGTCAACCACCTTCCCTGAGGAAGGCTGTGTTTTGAACAGCCCCAGTCAGCTAGGCTGGCCTCTGCAGCTGCACTTCGAGCATCTGAAACCTCAAGACCCTAACGTAGTCCCACAGGATGGATGAGACTGACCTTTTAAACGAGAGATTCAACAGAAAGTCGTATTTTTCTTTCTTTGTAATGTGTACCTCTGGGTCATACAGTTAAACTCCGTAGTTGAAGAATTTTGTGCTGATATCCCTGTTGGAAAAGATTTTTAGATCTTATCCATTGTCTTTCAAATAATATTTTAAAGACCTGCATTTGTCTGTGCAGTGCAGGGCAGGAGGGTGGATTGAGTTAGCGCAAAAGCCACTTACCATGGCTGCGAGCCGGAAAAGCAGCCGGGCCTGTGCCTGACATCAGTATTTCTTATTTCTGAATGCTGATGGTGCATTTCCTAGAGAGTGCGTTCTGTGTTTATTGACATTCGCAGATGAAAAGGCTCTGCTTTGCTGACTATTTAATTGGTGATTTAATTTTCCTAATAACGTTCCTTACAGGAACTGGACTTTGAAACCAAAACAAGTTACACACTCCGGATCGAAGCTGCAAATAAAGATGCTGACCCTCGCTTCCTGAGTCTGGGGCCGTTCAGTGACACGACAACTGTGAAGATAATTGTGGAGGATGTGGATGAGCCCCCCGTGTTTTCCTCCCCCCTGTACCCCATGGAAGTGTCAGAAGCCACCCAGGTTGGGAATATCATCGGCACTGTGACGGCTCACGACCCAGATTCCTCCAACAGCCCTGTGAGGTAACAGCCCCCCCTCCACTGTGATGCCAGTGTGCCTGTGTTCCTAACTCATCTTTCTACATCATCAGCCTCTTTGTCCGTAGCGAGTGCAAACCAGTTGAGATAGGAATTGAGCTGTAGCAGCAAAAGTGAAGCGGGACGAGAAAAACAACATTTTACGAAGTCAAAAATGAGTCTTCTGATTACCTAAGACCATTATAAGGTAGCGATGGATTTAGTGGTCCTATTACTCACAAACTATAGCTGATGTTCCCAGCAAACCAGTCCCCCTGAGCCTCTTTCAAAGCAGACCACGTTAAAAAATGAAGTGCCAGATAGCCTCTGTATAAGATAAATGTGGCTATTAGAAAAAATATTTATATACGATTTAAGTGAGTAATTGAACAAATTACTACTCATATTGGCTCATTTGGAAGCTACAAGTTTTTTTGTTTTTTGTGTTTTTTTTTTTTTTTTAGCTTATCCTATCCACATTTATCCTAGCCACTGCTGCTGAGTTGATTCCAAGGCCCAGTGACCCTATAAGGCCGAGTAGGGTTTCCAAGGCTGTAAATCTTTATGGAAGCAGGTGTAAGGACCATGTGTAAGGACCAATGAGAAGGCATGCTCTTTAGTAGACCTGGATCAGCCATGCACGTTGTTACAGCACCTTATTCTCTTTAGCACTAATAGAATGGTGACATGGAAGCAGTTCAGTGTGTCCCAGTACTCCATTTCCCACTTATTATCTGTAATTGACAATCTGAGATGTACACATATGTGAGTGTGCTTGTGTGTGTCAATAGGATAAAAATGTCTTCTTGAGTGACTATCATAAACATAGGAGCTCTAGTAGTATAGTGCCTAAGGCATTTGACTGCTAACTAGGGGCCGGCGGTTCAAATCCAGCGGCCACTCCTCAGAAGGAAGACTGGGCAATCTGCTTCCGTAGTGATACTGCCTCGGAAACCCAAGGAGGCGTCGCTGAGTCAGATCTGACCCGATGGCAGTAAGTTTGGTTTGGTTTTGGTCATAAATATAATAGATTCCAAATGAAATGCATTTTATTAAATACCTTAACTTGGATTCATAAGTAAGATACTTCACTTTTGAATGTGAAAGTTTGATTTTCATTAAAAAGCCTGTAAGGTAAAAAATCAGTAAACATCCCCGGAAGACAACTCAGTTAATTGTCCAAGCCTAGTTCACAAAGATAGTGCTCTATGTCATAGTTTGGTGAGTTGCATCTGGTGTCTTAAAACCTTGCCTGTGGCTAATAAGACACAGCTGTTGGTCTGTGCTCAATTAGAGCACAAGAGGAAGAAGGGAAGACTCAGAGAAGACACTAGTCTTCAGGACCAGTGCATCATGGGGACCAGGGTCTTGTCTCTCCTGTGACCAGAAGAACTATGTGGAGCCCCACTACTACTGACAACCATTGTGGCCAGACACACAATACACAGTCCCAGAAAGAATGGGAGATAAAACATAGATCATACCTCAAATTCCGGAAGAAGGCCAGACGTACTGGGTTAGAAGACACTAGAGGATCTCCTGAGAATCCTGCGATGTCCTTTAAACTGGGAACTAAATGCACTCCTAGAGTTCATGTTTCAGCCAGATACTACACCGGGCCATAAACCAAAAAGTATCACCGGTGAGTACTGCCCTCCTTTAAATTATCAGCTCTCTGAGCCCAAATGGTCATTATTACCCTCAAGCAAAGATCACAAAGTAAGGAGAGCAGGGAAGCTAGATTAGTGGAAACAGAACAATCAGAATGGAAATAATGAGAATGTTGACACATTGCAGAAAATGTAACCAATATCACTGAACAATGTGTACAGATATTGTTAAATGGGAACTAAATCTGTGCAAATTTCACCAAAAAATGCAATAAAACAATGAAGAAATCAACAAACATTTTGAATTAAGATGTGTGTAGCTTATAAATTAACCACAAACTTTTAGATTTAGCTGACATTTAATGATGCTTAGTGCTTTAGATTTAACTTTTGACTGAAGTTGACATCAACTCTAAAGTTATGTGAAAAATATCCATAATTTGACAATGACACATGGTTAAGAAAAGCTCATAATCTTATATAATTTAGTCATGTGTGTGTGTCCATACATATACACACATACACACACATATGTACACATACTTACACATTTAGGCATAGTTATAGCAAAGAGTCAGCCACTCCTCGGAAGGAAGGTTGGGCAGTCCTACTTCCATAGTGATACTGCCTCGGAAACCCAAGGAGGGGTCGCTATGAGTCAGGGCTGACTCAACGGCACATAACAACAATAACAACATAGCAAAGAGTCGGTACAGATTAAATAGTTGTTAAAAAATGAAGTCATACACATTGTCCCATATCAGTGACATCAAATTTAGGCTATTTGGATGGCTCTACTTTTTTTAGTGCTATGATCATAAACCATTTCTAAAAATATAATTTTCTGTGCACTAAAATGCCAGACACATCTAGTCTCCCCCTCCTCCCTGTAGTGGTGCATTGTTGATACCACTCCCAGACCTAAACTCAGCTCCATCCACCAAATTGTGCAGTGGCCATAAATGATTTAGAACTAACTGTAATTTTGATTTTATTACAGCATCCCACCTCTTGGAGACTCACTTAAATCCCCTCGCTCATGAACAATTAACTGTGGCACAGTTTCATGCATAGATCAGCTAGTTAGGGTCTAAGTTCTTTTTGATTCATTTAATTTAATGGACAGGACGAGAGATATGGTTTCAGGAAGCGGAGGAAATAGAGAAAGAAGAGACACAGCAATATATGTCATAATTCAGGTCCTAAATAAATGAAAGGGTTTGAGGTGATTTTGATTTATCATGTTGGGAGCTCTGGTAGCATAGTGCCTAAGGCACTTGACTGCTAACCAGAAGGCTGGCAGTTCAAACCCACCAGCCACTCCTTGGAAGGAAGGTTGGGCAATCTACTTCTGTAGTGACACTGCCTCCGAAACCCAAGGAGGGGTCGGTATGAGTCAGGCCCGGCTTGACGGCACATAATAACATGTTAACATTTTAATCTTTGTGCATCAGTCTGTTGAAATCTTTTCAGGTAAAATATTTTACTATTTCTACTCTTTTACTTGAAAAAATCAACAGTATTGTATGATACTCTTGGAAGGAAAAGGGACGCCTAAGCCCCAGGGGATAGTGACAACTTAGGTTAGACAGAGATGAAAGTGAGCGCAGGTGTGCCCACAGAGACAGAAATGGCCAAGGTCTGAACTCTGTGGATTTTGTAGATAAAGATCTTCATGACAGAGAAAGAGAAGGAGCAGATGACAGGCACCACGTATATACCTTATTTTTACTTTCTTTAAAGTAAAACCTGGTCTTTTTTTATGATTTTGAGTTTTGTTTCACATTCGTCTCCTACTCTCTCCAGAATCTCCAATTTTGATCCCTCTCAGAGTGAATGGCATTGGTATCTGGGCACATATAATTCTTCTGGTCTCGGGGTCATATAGGCTGAGGTTCTCATGGTCCATTAGTCCTTTGGACTAACTACTTCCATGCATCTTTGATTTTTCTGAGTCTTCTTTGCTCTGGATGAGGAGACACCAATAGTTGCATCTTAGATGGCCGCTCACAAGATTTTAAGACCCCAGTTACTACTCACCCAAGTAAGATGTAGAAAAATAATTTTGTATACTATGTGTTACTTTTTTTTTTTTTAACTTTTTATTGTGATTTGGGTGAAAGTTTTACAGAGCAAATTGATTTTCCATTGAACAATTCATATGCATTTTTATTCAGGACATTGATTGCAATCCTCAATGTAACAACACACTCCCCACTTCCTCCCTGTATTTATCATTTCCATGTGTGCTTTTTTCCCATTCTTTCTTGCCTTCTGAGCATTATCCCCGGACAGATGCTGGCCTTTCGATATCATTACTTTTTGTAAGCCATGGTTAACACCTCCCTGGTGTTCCTGTTGTCATTGTTTGGCTAACGTTTGAGCCACAACAGTGAGTTCAGTTTCAGGCTTGAAGGGTGTGTAAGGGCCATAGTCTCAGGGGTTCCAGCAGTCTATCCGACCAGTAAGTTGGTCTTTTTTTTTTTTTTTTTTTTTGATTTTGGGTTTTGTTCCCCATTTTTCTCCCACTCTATCCAAGACCTCCTATTGTAATCCCTTTCAGAGAGGTCAGCAGTGGTAGCAGGACACCATCTAGTTCAGGTCTGAGGGTCATAGAGGCTGGAGTTCACATGCCCTCTAGTGCTTTGGACTCATTGTTCCATGAATCTTTGATTTTCCTCACTCTTTTTTGTTCTGGATGGGCTGAGAGCAATAACTGCACCCTAGCTTTCTGCTCACAAGCTTTTTCTAAGATACCAGTTGCTAGTCACCCAAGTAGAATGTAGAACATTGTCTTCGTGGACGGTGTTACCCTTTGTTTGTTTGGTCAGTACCATCATTCATCGCTTGTTTGCTTCTGCATTTGTCTCTCACATATTTCTTACCCTCTGTGCTTTCATAATATTCTTTAGGGACCGTCTCCTCGGTTAGAAGTTTGATGATGTTATGTTTCCTTCTGTGCATTCTTCAGAACACTCATTTTCTTCCTGAGTACTGCTGTTTGCTGCGTGATTTACCTTAGGAATTACTCTTATAATCTCCTAAGTGTCCAAGTGACTCAGGAAAAAGGAAGATCAATCCTAAACCCTACTTCATCCTAGGCTTTTTTGATGATAAAATGAGAAAGTGAAAGGAAATGATTTCAAACTGAGAGTAACGACTGAAATGTTAGGAATTGTTGATATTATAGATTGCTATTATTGGTTTCCGGGAGCTCTGGTAGCATAGTGGCTAAGACACTTGCCTGCTAACCAGACGGCTGGAGGTTCAAACCCACCAGCCACTCGTCGGAAGGAAGGTTGGGCAATCCTACTTCCGTAGTGATACTGCCTCAGAAACCCAAGGCGGGGTCGCTATGAGTTGGTTTTGACTCGACGGCACATAACAAAAACAACA